CTTTCACTCACACTGCTACAAAAATAATTTACGAAGAAGTTTAGTTTTTTCAGCAAGAGCGGCTCAATCACTAGCCATCCCTATCAGCCGCCCCTGAAAATCGACCTATTTTCAGAATTAGTTGGCTATTGAGCTGACCCTACTAATGTTCCAGGATGGTAACGATAAAGTTGGTGCCAATGACCGTGGAGGATGTGTCGAGGACAAGGAAGATGGTGATTATTTGGAGGAAATGCTTCAGGTTATTGGACCAGTGGTGAAACTAAAGAGCGCAAAAGGTCTAGAAATTTTGGAAATGGTGGAAAAAGTAGCGAAGGAGAGTTTGTATGGTGTCGTAAAGGGTTGTCTGACACACTGGACGGATCCACTTTTTTGGGCTTGAGCTACTCATCCTAAAGGCTAAGTATAGTTTGTCGGATTGCAGTTTCAGTGATCTATTTCGTCTCTTGTCATGGTTGCTTCCGCAGCCAAACTCTATTCCCGCCAATACTAATCCTAATATTGTTTTCTTACAGTGGCCTGAACACAACTATATTATTAACAAACCACTCTGCGATGATGATCTCCTAGGGACCTTTGCAAAAGTTCCTTATCGAAGAGATTGTAAACAAGGATGTGGCACATACCACAACCCAATGTCCACGATAGGACGTCAACCTGAGTGTTAGGCTCTTCATGAGTCGGAAGGATTAAGCATATGTTGTTGATGATGACAATGTGTATGAAATGTGACATTAGTCTTATTTGACGTGTCCTTTGGATTTGATCAGACATATGGATGGTACATTATATTAGTGGTGAATGTGATATATTAGCGAATGTGTTATATTATTGAATGTGTTATATACATTATGTCGAAGAGTGTAATCGTGTGGTGTTTGGTGGATCTGAATATATACGTGTGTGTATATATATATGTTTTGGTGACATTTTGAATTTAAAATTTGGCGAGAAAATGGATTGTTGGACAGCTAGAAAGTCAAACTGCCTGTACAAATATCTCTATATACACAGCCACCCTTGAAAACAGATGTGTAGATGTGGCTTTTATTTATTTTTTATCGGGTATAACTTGACGCACGTAACCCACACACTCCACACTCACACCACACGGACGCACCGCTTTTCATTTTTTTTTTTGATCGGGTACAACTTGAACGTACACAACCCACACACTCCACACTCACACCACACGCGTGCGTGCGTTCGTACACACATAAAGAAGAGATTGGGAGGCGTCGCCGCCTCCGGTGCGTGGGAAACGCACAGTAGCCACCAAACACGCATGTGTGCGTGTACCCTAAAATTTCTGAAAAAATTGCAGGAAATGTGCAGTACCACCGAACGCGCACGCGTGCATAAAATTTCTCAAAAAATTTCAAAAAAAAGTACGATCACCAGGATTTGAACTCTGGCACTGTACCACAGGTCCATTTCGCGGTGGCTTTTCACTTTTGTGTGACAGAAACACTTTCACGTAGCTGACGTTACAGACGCACGGAATGTGTCTGTACGTTACACGTGTAATAAGTGTAGCAGTACCCAAATAGTAGCAGCATCGTTATTACAGAAGAAACATTTTCACATAGGCTGACAGTTACAGACGCACGAACGTCCAAATTAGACGTGTGTAGGGCTGTAGGCACGGATGGACAACGCCGAGCAACCTCGAGGTGCATGGAACGCTGCAGATCGAGCAGAGCACGTCCAAGGGATATGGGAAGACACGCACGCACGCGAGCAGTATGGCTGGGTCGGCGGCGTCACTGGAGGGGCGGCGGCGGGGGTGCGATCACCGTAGCCTTAGGCTTGTTCGGCAGCGGCGGCGGCAGCAGCCCCGTCGTCGTCCTCGTCCCCGACAATCGTCTGTTATTAATCGGAGGCCTCCTTTTGGGAGGAATCCCGTAGCGGCTGGCCGTCGCAAAGCCGGCGCCAGCCATTACCCGCCTCGTGTCACCGTCCTCTTCAGCTGCATTCCACATGATATGTTATCATCAAGCAATCGATCAGTTAGCGCGTCTCAGGACTCTCAAGGGAAAAATAAAAATAAGCACGCGCAAGTCGAAGTGAAACGTACCGGTAGGGCGCGAGGAGAAGCGGACGTGAACAGCGCAGGAACACAGGAGGAGGAGGACGACGACAACGAACAACACTACGGGAATCAGGAGATTTGCCGGCAAAGTCTAAAAAACACTCGGCAAACGACACTCGGTGAATTTTTATCGGCAAACAGACTTTGCTGAGTGTTTTTTGTCGGACACTCGGCAAAGACTTCGTCGAGTGCCCAAAATACACTTGGCAAATATTTTTTCGAAAAATATAAAAAAAGCCACCACAAAAAAAGCCATCCGGATCCGGCGGCCACGAGCCACCACCGGCCACCACCACCACGCAACCGCCGCCCACCACCACCACGCCACCACCCGCCACGCCGGGGAAGAGAGGGAGAGGAGGGCACGGCCGCTGGATCCGGGAAAGAGAGGGAGAGGAGGGGGCGGCCGGGCCGGATCTGCCGCCGGGGAAGAGAGAGGAGGGAGAGGAGGGGGAGGGGTGCCGACGGTGGGAAGAGAGGGAGAGGAGGGGGGGCGCGCTGGATCCCGTCGGGCCGGGGAGAGAGAGGAGGAGAGAGGGGGGTGGTGGCGCGGATCCGCCTTGGGGAGAGAGAGGAGGAGAGGAGGGGGGAGAGGGCAGGTGGTGGGAAGAGAGGAGAGGAGGAGGCGGCTGGCGCCTCAGCCGGATCTGGCCTCCCCATGCGCCACCGTCGCCGGATCGGAGGAGGTGCCCGCGCCGGGGCCGGATCTGGTGGAGGTGGTGGAGGAGGGAGGGAGGTGCGCCGGTGAGGGAGGAGGGGAGGGCGGGGCCACGACGGGGTCGAGAGGGAGGAGGGGGGGCAGGGGCGGCGAGGAGGGGGGCGGAGGGAGGGAGGGCGCAGGCGTGCCCGCAAGTGTGGAGGAGAGGGGGGGGCGCGTGAGCAGCGGCGGGGAGAAGGGGAGCCCGCAGCGCTGGGGTTAAAAAATAATTTTTTCGTTTGCCGAGTGTTCCAGATCTGGGCACTCGGCAAAGATTTTTTTTTCATTTTTTTTCTTCTCTATCTTTCCCAAAAAAAAATATTTTTTTACTTTGCCGAGTGTCCTAGATCTGGACACTCGGCAAATATTTTTTTTCATTTTTTTCTTCTCTTTCTTTCCCAAAAAAAAATATTTTTTACTTTGCCGAGTGTCCTAGATCTGGGCACTCGGCAAAGATTTTTTTAAAAATTTTTTCTTCTCTTTCTTTCCTAGAAAAAAATATTTTTCCTTTGTCGAGTGTAAAAAAACACTCGGCAAACCCCATCTTTGCCGAGTGTTTTTTCAAACTCGGCAAACGACCTCTTTACCGAGTGTTTTTTTTTTTCGCTGAGTATTTTTATGGCAGCACTCAGCAAAGAACTTGTTTGTCGAGTGTCTGAGAGAAAACACTCGGCAAATAGAAAAACACTCGGCAAATTTAACGTTTCGGTAGTGCAACCAGGTGACGAGCCGGCCGGTGCGGCGATCCATGGCGGCGACGGCGAGCTCTTGCATGCAAATGAAGCTGCTAGCTGCCGCGCGCGCGCGGAATAATGGACTGCGGGTACCCTCGTCAGCTCGTGCTGTATCTATACACGCCGATGGATCGATGCATGATCGATCGGATGAGGCTGTCTGCTGGAACCTGCAGCTGCCGATCGAAGCTGATCTGGAGCTACGCAGGTTTTAGGTGGTAAGCACTATACTAATCCTGCTTGCTAACGCGGCTGGTGCGATGTACTATCGAGAGTGCAATAATTGTCGTAGCTCGTGCAGAGTAGACTACTTATTTTTCGTCAGAGTTTGGGACTGGCTTATGTTAGAATTTAGATTCATCGGACAGACGGCCGGCCGGACGGTCTCCTGATGCTGCGCGCGCATATAATTGGAGACATCGACTGTGTTTTCCTTGTTCTAGAAATTCATTCCATGTAAATTTGAAGCCGAAGCCGACTTCGATGCATGGATGGATAGATTTGTAGCCGTAGTAGAGCTCAGTAGCTGGAATAGTCCTGAAGCAGCGACAGATCCATGGAGAACTACGTGGCCTCCGTCGGCGGTTGACGACAGGTCCATGGAACAAATAATACGCTGCTAGCTGGTAGTACTAGTTAATCGCTGTTTATTGATGCATGAGTGGACTTTGCTTCACGATGACCATGCATTATTTAGGTCGCCTGGCGATCCAGAGTAAATTTGCTTCGTAAACAGGTAAAATATATGTACTAATTCGCGGATCTCGAGCAGTGCTAGCTGTCTCCAGCTACCGAACCATGAGCAACGGCAGTCAGGCAGAGCAGGTGCCTATCAGCCTATGATGAGCATTGCGGCAGCAGGTGCAGCACATTGGTAGCACAACGGATAATTGAGGAGAGGGAAGCAACTGCTGCCTGCGTGCGTGGAGAATGTCACTTTTCCTGAAAAGTTATTTTCAACAGATCAATCAAATAGCAACTTTTTGTGATTCATGCATGGATATGGATGAATCCTTTGACTTTGGGCTCCTGAATTATGTTACTGGCCGGTGGTCCTGATTGCAATCAGACCCACCTAGCAGTAGCACAGTTGCATGGAGATGGAGACAAAGTCAGAAGAGAGCCGCCTCATCCTGCCTGGAATCATGTTAGGGCCGGGGCGACCTCATATTCTCCTCAACTATCGAAGTTGGGACTTGGGAGGCAATGCAAGGGCCCAAATGATGAAGATGGAGCGAGGTAATGGGGTGTTTGGGCATATAATAAGATGTATCTATAAGATTTCATTGTAAAACACTACTGTCACGGCCAACCACAGGCAAGCTTTACATATAGAGAGATTTGTACAGAATGTCCAAAGCACACGATCGAGTACATGCGTGGACTGTGACAGATTGATTCAATGCTAGCAGCAGTTTGCGTATGCATATGCATGCCCAAGGAATTGGACACGCATCAGGAGAAGTCGACGGCATCATCACGCTCCCGTCGGCGACGATGGTGGCCCAGGCATCGCCGCGGCCTTCATCCTGTTCGACACCGGTGCTGGCGGCAGCTTCGGCTTCGCTGCCCCCAAGGAGCGCCTGTTCCAGATCTTCCCTCCGCGGTAGCGGCCGTAGGCCCTGTCGTCGTCGCTGCCCGCCGTCACGAAGGCGGCGGCGGCCCAAACACTCCTCCCATCCTCTTGAGAGGAGCGGACGGGGACGGCGAAAGAACCCACGAAGACGACGACCATGAGCAGCCAAGCTAAGATTCTGCGACTCATGGTCATGGCGGCTGCTAGCGCCAGCTCAGCTCAGAAATGCTTTTGGGAGTTTGGAATGGAGTGTGTCCAAACTCATCAACTCGTGATGTATATATAGTACTGCACATGCGATTTTGCGATGGATGCGAGGGTGTCCAAAGGCTTATCGAACTGCTGATCGCCAATCTGCTAAGCAGGCTATTAGTCAGCTGTATTATTATACTGCATGCACCAACTGGCTGCTGAGATGCTGATGCAACGAATGAGTGTACTGGTACAATGCTTGTAGCTCGTGTGCTGGGTATTTTTTTGTAAACTACAGCGAGTCATTCTGCCTCCCTCTTGCCTCTATAAATAGTGCAACCGTGCACCCGTCATGACTACAAGTTAGTAGTAGATAGGATGCCATCATTTTTCATTGATATCTATTCTTTTTTGATAGTTAAGGTCTAATTCCTTCGCTTCTTCATTCATTATTGTTTGAGTTTCCTTCTAGTTTTATTAGAGCGAAGAAAACATTCTTCGTACCTTTCATTTTCATGTCTGTGTTACACCTTCTCAACCACTAGCCTTGATATTTTGTGACGAGATAAGTGAATAAGATAAGGAACATAGTGGCTAGTTCCAACCATGGTTGGCAGAATGAAGGATCTTTCTTAATGCCACCATTGAACAAACCTACAACATAAGAAGCACTCGGAACAAATTAATTGGATCATGTTGTTCAAGTACTATCAAATCTTCAAAACACACCAACAACTACTCATGGAATAAACCAATTGGGTCATGTTTGGCCCTTGCCAGGACATCCTTGCGAGGGACTCCAACGAGGACTAATGGAAAGTGTGAGCTTTCCGATACCCTAGGAAAAAATGTTGTGTGGGAGTTTGCATTCTCTAACTCAATTTTTGTTCCCACATTTACTTTGTATTCCTTGGTGTGTACTTTACCTTTTTAGTCTAGCTTGTTAGGTTAGTTAATAAGATTGGAACATAGGATACAAAACTCCTTTTGCGTAGAGAGAGCGACACTTAGAAAAACCTAGTATACATTTAGATAGAACTTCTGTAGGTTTTATAAGTGGTTTTGGGCCTTAGTTTTTAAGTGGCCTAATTTGTCCCCCAGTTTTTAAGTGGCCTAATTCATCCCCTTGTAGGCATCATGGTCCCTTCACTATGAACTAGAAAAAAATAGTGCCTTGCATGGACAAACAAATCAAGTCCCACTGTGGACAATTGGGTATAACCCACGGATCCATCAAATTATATAGGACCATCTATGAACAATTGGGTATAACCCACGGAATGTGTCCAAGTTCAATGGAGCATTTGACCCTCGGCAACTTGTCATGAGCTTTGAAGCAATTGTCACTTCGGCTGGATGGGATGAATGTGAAAATTCATTTTTTATAACTGAAGGATCATTGTATAAAAACTTACAAGGTTTCAAAAAATTGTCGCTTAGAATCATAGGTATGTTTAACTGTAAGTAACAAGATAAAGATCCATTAGAAGATTATGTCTAGAGATTTGTTCAGATCAAAGCCCAAGCTCTAGATGTTGGTGATGAAACAATTATTTCAATAGTAGCTAAAGGTCTTGGCATTGGACAGTGTGCTTTGCACTTCTCAAGAGAACCTCAATGAAACAATCTCAGAACTCTTCAAAGTCATAGAAAAGAGTTGTCGGTCATACAACGATTACTAAATATAACATAAGAGAAAATCGTATTGAGTTAATCAACGAAGCAGCTAAACAATGATGTGCAGTCGAAGCCTCACTAAGGAAGAAACAACCAACCTCAATAATCATTTTTTTTCTTTTTTTGCGAACCCATGCCTTCATCACAACTAGAGCTGATGAATCATATATGTATCACAGATAGGTTAGCCGCTCCTTGCATGATTGCAGTTTATTAGCTGCAGGAGTAGAAATCCAAACCCGAAAGTAATTATGCAAGTGAGCAATTCACATACCGGGAGTGCGCGTGGAGCAGATTATTCGGGAAGCACATGAACCCGGCCATGAGGAAGACGGCGACGAGAACCCATGCGACGACTTTGCGATACATGACGGTAGCAGGTTACGTTAGCTCTCAGGAATGAATTTGGGAGGTTGGAAATATGCCGGGCCTCGTCAACATGTGCTGTATACATGTGTGGAAATGCACTCCAACGGATCGATGCAAGGGTGTCGAAATGACAACAAGACCATTCTGTAGCTAAGCAGGCTAGCAGGTGGTGGTAGTTCATACTTCACATGCTTGCTGTTGCTGCTGAACTGCTGGTTCAATGTACTGGTACAAATGTGCAATAGCTCGTGTATACATTTTTAATCGAGACCACAGCTCGACGGTCTCATGGAGAATTACGTGCTCTCTCCGTAATCAAAGTTGTCATCGGTTACAAAAAAGGAAAGGTTAAAAGTACATTTAGCCTATTTTGATGAGACCATGTGCGGGTACGGTACAACTTTTAGTGAATTAAATGACAGCACGATTAAAAAACTAACCTATTTTGATGAGACTACCTACATGTGGTTTTGTCCCAGTATGATTTATGTATTTAGTGACTCATGTGAAGCAAATGCCATGCAAGTGAAAGCGACTCCAAGGATGATCTTTTTCCTTCATTTTAAATTTAAGATATTTTGTCTTGTTAGATACATAGATTTTGCTATGCATTTAGATATGTACTATGTCTAGATACATAATAGAAGCAATATATCTAAAAAAAGTCAAAATGTCTTATAATTTAGAATAGAGTGAGTATGTAATAATAAAAATGACAAGCAAAGTTAACAATGAAGAAAGAAACATGGATGGTTGCATATATGTTAGTCTCACATGAAGAGCCTGCAAATCGGCCAGGCCGAGTGCGAAAACATTGAGGTGTGTTTGGGTAGTTGCTGCTAAAACCAGCTAGGCCAATTTTACTAGTTTCAATATAGTAACAGCTTGTTCGAGAATTTTGACCATACTGATTTTTTTGAAACCATCCAGGCCGATTTTTACTAATTCTCTTCTCAATTTGGTAGTTTTTAGGATATGTGTATTTGTAATCTTCCTCTCCCACTTTGGGGGAGAGGGGGGCTACTAGTGCATTTCATGTCCTCTAACATTCATAAAGCCTTGACAATTTTTGCATCCACCCTTTGTGGAATTTGTATGACTTAAGTGATATCCTTTGGGTTGGGGTGAGGAGGTTAGCTGTGTGAACTTGCGAGAGTACAATTGAGAATTCATAGGCCTCGAGCAATTTGTAGTTGCGTCGTCAAATAACTCAATCGCTATGTGTCACCAGAGAGAACTCAAACTTACGGATGCCTTTGGGATAGTTAGTGTAGGCTATGATTTTGCATCCACAAGGGAAAAGATCATCTAGTGGATTCAAGAAAAGTGGTTGAAATGACCCTGCTAGAGCTTGACCTTCGAGGGTTACTCATGGCCTCCTCAATAGACACGTAAGGTCTAAGTGATAGGACGGAACTTCAAGAACAAATATTTGTGTCTTCAATTTGGTTTGTCTCTCTATTGCATTTATATCATATATATTTAATCTTCTATGTTGTTCTACTTAGGTGTGCTTATTTGTGAGTGCATAGGCTTGGTGAAAGTGCTAATGAACACCTAGAGAAGCACCTCTTCAATTTTGGTTCATGATAGAAGTGATTTCGAGAGTTAGGATAGAATCATATACTAAGAAGCTGGTGGGTGGCTCGAAGCGAGTTGTTTCAATTAATAACACACGGCAATACAAATGACACATTGCCATTAGCAGTGTTTGTTCTTTGACAAATAAAATGTGAAACTGTGGAAGAAATCAGCTTTTGTCTTGGCGTTGTAATTTGGCTGTCCACTATATATAATTCTAATTTAAATCTCTCAAACAACTATGAATAAGACTAGGACTTCCTGGTTATTATTATATACGTCTAGTTGATCTTATGATACTTTGCTTGACGGGGAATAAAGGCCTGTTTGGGTGGATGCCTGAACTATTTGCCTGACAAAAAGTGTTGTCTTGAAGTTTTTTTTTTTTCTCGAGAGCGTGCATTGGCACGTTTTTCATTAAGCATGGTTGAGAAGTTTTCTTACAAAGTGTAGGATATGGTAAACCTAAGATTACCAAAGCCCAAGCCCTCGCCCTCCAAAAACTCACACGTGATTGTGATTACATGCACTAATTTTGCGACTAGAGAGAACTACGTAATCAGACGGATCGGCACCGCGAGTCAAGCGCTTCCAGCTACCTATACCCAGCCGCGCACCAAAGCGAGACCTCCTACTCAATGGACTCCAACAGCTGCGCCGGTGACGAAGCGACGCGGTTGAACATTCTCGCATTTCTTTCCTTCCACAGGAGCCAGCCGACGAGAAGCAAAAGTGAGTCGAAACCACGGCGCAACTCCTTGGGCAGCCGCTTCCTGGAGGTCGTCCACCACCACATGATGTCCTCCTGCTGAACGACGACCAGATCAGGAGGAAACTTCGGAGGCATGAATCCCAAACCTCGTGGCTGAAGACGCAGTCGAGGATTAGATGGTCCATCGTCTCCGCAGCTTGGTCACAGATAATGCAGGCATCGCTGTCCTGCAAACCATGGCGGCGTCGCCTATGCGCCGTCCAGCAGCGCCCATGCATGACCAGCCAGAAGAAAAACTTGACACGCGGAGGCGCCGACGTCTTCCAGATCAACTTCACCCCAAGCGGTCTAGAAGAACCAACGAACATTGTGCCATAGGCTGACGACGCGGAGTACTGTCTGTCCGCTGTGAGCCGGCAGCTGAACGTGTCAGGGCACGCCGGGCGACAACTGCACCTGCTCCACCATGTTCCATAGGATGATGAATTCAGTGATGAGCCTCATGGTCCTTGGCTCGGTGATGTGGTGCACCCAAGCCCTTCCATGGAGCGCCTCAGCGACGGAAGTTTGCCGTCTTCTCTTTGGCACCGCCGCGAACACCGCCGGCGCGATGTGTCACACGCTGGACCCCTGGAGCCAGTTGTCCAGCCAGAAGAGTGTGGAC